TGTGTGTGTATGTGTGGTGTGTCTGCGTGTGTCCGTGTGTGTGTGTGTGTGGTGTGTTGCTGAGGCCCCACCTCATCGAATGGCTCTGGAACCCGAGCGCAGTGATGAAGATGTTGATGAGAACCGTGAAGAAGACGAACACCGTGGCTACGTTGTTCATCGTGTCCAGCTTGGTTCGTTTCCGTTCATCATTCAGATCATACTTCACTGCTGGCACGAAACAAAACTACGTGAGCTTCATCAAACTTTAACGAAGGGCAGAAGAGATGGAGAACTACAGAGTCTGGCACAGAATCTGAGACATTTTAAACTCGTGTGATGTTGCGACTGAAGGGTAGCAGCTTTATCTGAAAAAACTGTGGAAAGCCTGAGACATCTCTGTCGCCCCCTGGTGGCTGTTCAGTAGTGAGCGCTACATCTGTGGACCGACAGAACATGAGCTCCAAAATATAATCAAACCTGAGTCTAACATTTTAAAAAAAATATCTAATTTTTACCTTTTTTTCTTTTCTTAATGTTTAAATAATCAAAATGTAGATTTTCAAACAACCGACTTGTTAAATAATAAGTAAATAACATTTTAATTTATTACTGTATTTTAACAAAATATTTGTGAGCTAACATACAACACATTAAAACAGAAAGAAAGCTTGGTTTCTTTATCAAATTACTGGAATATTAAGGTCATTGCAGACAAAAAAAAAATTGAATACATTTTTGCCAAAAAACTCAAAAATGTTTAACTTCATCTCAGAGATTTCCGAGAAAAAAAACAAGGAAATTTTCTGATTTCCAAAAGTGAGAAATTTGTGTAAAAAAGGCAATAATTTTAATTTTTTATTTTTTTTTTTTAGAAATATACTCCACCTACAATGGCCCTGACACACTGTCATAAATAACCAATCCTATTCATGATACAGAGGAAGTGAGGTTTTAAAGAATTACCTCATCAGTCAGTCAAGTTTATTTGTATAGCACGTATTTGCAATAAGGCAGCTCAACGTTCCTTACATCATAAAACACAAAACTGATGTTATTTTACATCTTGATTTTTATACCATCCTCCCTGACAGACAGACCGGTGTGCAAACTGGCAGATCTGGGAATCCCCTCTTCCACCTGTCCTGAGTTAAGGACTTCCTGATGGATCACAAACAAAGAGTCTGCATGGGGCCCCATACTCAGCTGTGTGCTGAGCCCTCTGCTCTTCACTCTGAACACACATGATTGTGTTTCAGTCCATCAAAGTACCATTCTTGTTAAATTTGCAGACTGCACATCTGTAGTGGGTCTTGATCTTCGGGGAGAATGAATCTTTCTACAGGAATGAGGTGGAGTGACTCACAAAGTGGTGCACAGACAACAATTTAATCCTAAACACAGCCAAGACCAAGGAGATCATAGCGGATTTTAGCAGTAAAGGAGAAATTCAACCAATATACATCTGTGGATACCGGGTGTATCCACAGATACACCCGGTATCTGTGGATACTCCCAGGAAACTGAAGTTTGACATCAGTTTCCTGGGAGATCATAACCTGACCTGGGACGTAAACACAGCAGAACTGGCAAAGAAAGCCCAGCAGAGACTCTATTTTCTGAGAAATTATATTTCTCAAAAACTGCTGGTGTCCTTCTATCGATGCTCTATTAAAAGCATCATCTGCTGTTGTCTCTGTGGTTCTCCAGCTGCACAGCAGCACAGAGGAAAACTCGCCAGAGACTCATACAATCAGCCCAGAGGACCATCAGCTGCTCTCTGCCTTCTCTTGAAGATCTCCAGATCCCACTGCCTCAGGAAACCGGGAACGTTTTAAAATACTCCTCTCACCCTGATCATGATTTCCTCCAACTGCTGCCATCTGGCTGCAGAAACAGGAGCATTAAAGCAACGACAACCAGGCTGAAGAGCAGTTTATACCCAGTAGCCATATGGGGGTTAAATGGCTCCTAGTTCTATTTATCACCCAATTTCATTATAGGCAAAGTAATTTTATTACATGGTTCCCATAATGGTAATAAAGATTATTGATTATTAATAAATGCATAAAGTGAGAAGAATAAAGATAATGGATTCATTTCATATGAAAAAGAAAACTGTCCAAAGTGTTGTTGGATGTTTCAGCTCGATGTTTTCACCCAGCGCTTCCAACAGTTCAGTCTCTTTGAGACAGACAAAGCTATATTTTTATGTAGTTTTTTATATCTGAATTAAAATCAGATATGGATGCAGACATGCAGCATGTGAACCACAGTGTTGAGGACTGATCTACGCGGTGCCCCAGGAAACAGATGATTTTTAGCCCCGATGTTGAAAGCCACACTCTCTACAGTCAGAAATGTGCATTGACAGAACTAACTTACTGCTATAAGAACAACGATGGTGGTGAAAAAGGAAAGCATGGGAATCACTTGCCAATAAATACGAGCAGCAGTCCCACTACCACCTGCAGCGCGATGGACAGAGTGAGCAGAACGATGAGAGGGATGTAGAAGCGATACTCTGGGCCCACATACAGGATGGTCTTCAGCTGGGAGGAGTTGGCCATCAGCAAAGCAACATCCAGCATACTCTGAGCTGCACTCTTCTTAGTGGCATAGTGGTTCATGTCAAAGGAGGAAAGTCTTTTACCAGTCTGACCCTGAAAGGTAAAGAAAACATTCACTCTCAACAACATGTCACAGGATAAGAAGATTTAGAGATCTTCTTTCTGGTTCTCTATGTTTTTTTTTTTTTTTCCAAACACTGTCATGTTTTCCTGTGTTATGGGTCTCTGTATTTGGGTGTGGCAGCATGAAGAATGTGTCATGGCGCTGCGACAGGTGATGACTCACCTGAGCCAGAGGAACAGGCCAGTCCCAGCATGTGCTGCGTTCTCTGTCGACATTTAAACCTGCCATGTTTCATGAACTAGGTCATGCATGTCCTGTCAGACGCTCCCATTTTATGTGCTTCCTCTACCTCCACTGCTCTGAGTTAAACTGATTGGCTTCCATAAAACAAGTTAGAAACTGAGTTAAATATTATTTTATTCATTCAATTCAAAGTTTAAGCTATTATGAACTTTACTTATATTTGAAAGCTTTATTAAGCTTTCCTTATGAAAGTTCTGCCTGTCATCAAGTGTTTTCCTTCAGATTTTAATGATGGTAGTTATCGAAATATTGATTAAAAAGACCCACAACAATCTGGACAAATCACGTCTGCAGAATTACAGGCTAATTTCTCCAGCCTAAATTTAAAAAAAAAGTTTCAACAGTTAAATAGTTTCTTAACAATGATCAACCACTTTGACATCTTTCTGTCTGATTTCCGTGGTAACCACAGCACTGAGACTGTGTTCCACAGCATAAGACACAGTTGACCAGGACTTATTACTGAAACGATTGGAGAGCTGGGTCAGATCCTCTGGTACTGGACTGGGTCCAGAAGCTTCATTCAGTTTAATCTAGAACAAACTTTCACAAACTGCAAAAATGCTGAAACACTATAAGTCAAGACTAAAACCGCATTTGTCGAGAGTTGACTTTGATTATTAATAACTGTAACACTGATTAATTCTAGTCTGAACTGTAATGTTTCTTTTTTGTTTTGTTTGGTAATTGTTTCATGTTTCCATCACTCAAAGTAAACTGAACTGCCTTGTTGATTAAATTTGCAATACAAATTTCTTTGCTCTGTAAAAACAAAGAAATCAAAAATATTCCAAAGTGGTCTCCCTTTTAAAAGCCACTTTTGAATATTTTTGGATACATCTTTCACGATTTTCATATTATAGATTTCCATTTAAGCTCAATGTATGAAGAACTAAAGAATAACATGCAGTCATTAATTTAACTTAGCTGATATTATTGAAAAGTAATTTTATTTCAATAGCTCAATTCACTAAACATAAACACATTTTATGGACTATGACTGATGTCTTAAAGACTATTCCTGTTAATCATAATTTTGTTCTTGCAGCTGTAAAGAAAATGCGACGTTTAAGATGTGAGTATTACATCACACAAATAAAACATTTCAATAAAGAAATGAGGGATTAATGAAAAACAAAGCTTATTATTCCCAAAGGTAAACATGATCTTATGAACATAATCTGGAGCTGAAAGACAAATATCCCCTGAAGACAAATAGAAAATCTGTTGTAGTCCCACGAGTTAGTAAAAATAATTAAATTCTGAATGTAAAGAGTACATTTTACATTTAGGACATCTGGTCAGCACAGCTGTCTGCCTTGAATACTTTAAATACTTTTGGACCATCTTCCTGCTTCACCTTTCTCTGATGGAAACTTACAATCCAAGCACAATGACAGGGTGAAGGCATGCAGCTCTGCCCAGTCATTCACATGGGTGGATGATACGTCACACTTGGGTGCAACTCTCACTGCAAAACTTTCATTCACCTCAACACAATGCTTACAAGTGCCATGGTAAACACCACAGTTAGGAACAGATGTGTTGTTTTTGCTGTAAAGATTCTTTGAGATATGATTCACATCTGGGAGTAAAGACCCATTCTAAAACATTTAAGATCTTTTTTGAAAACAGAGCTGTGGACTTTCTGGATTTGCTGCAGTAAAAGTGAATATAGGAGTTGTAACACGGGTTTGGTCAAATTCCAACCCCCCTTTCTTGGAGACCAAGCTGGTGTGAGTCTTTTCAGTCAATGGGAACGATGTGGTCCATTAACAAAGAGCAGAAATTCAGATATTTACAGCTTAACCGCCAAATTTCTTAAAGCCTATTGTGATTGTATTTGTGCTGTTGAATTTGTCTGTAGTATATATTCAGTAGTCAAACTACTGAAAATATCATTTATTTAAATATGTATCTGGGTTTTCCATTGACAATCTCCTCAGTGTTTTGTTTCACATAAACTTATTTTGTTCACAGAAGTAAAGTTATATTAGCTTCGATCCTGAATTATGTAGTGAGACTGGGATGTAAAAGCACACTTACCTCAAAGTCCCCCATTGTATTTAGAGCCACCTCCTCTCTCTTCATCCCGTGGTCTGAGGATCAGCTTTGCTCTCCGATGTCTCTCTGTCCGGCCTCAGACAGCCCTGCTGTAGCTGAGGAGCTATGGAAACCTGAGGGTGTTGATAAAACCCAACAGGTCTGGCGACTCCACCTGTGTTTCAGCAACATTTCCATGCTCCTCCCACCAACTTTTTACCTCCAGAATCATCTTCCTGTTTTTCTCTCTCCCTTACCTTTGCAAACACTGGATCAATTAGCACTATACGTGAAGTAGAGTCACTTAAAATGTCACTGAAAGCATTTAAAACATTACCAATCGTGTTAAAGGCTGAGATAGAACCATAATTTCTGCCACTCTGGACAGAAAAGTGCATGGCGCTGTACTTCATTTAAAACAGGAGTGGAAAATAACTAGCTACTCTCATTACTGTAATGTTGGCATGTTGGCACTTTAAGTTTACCAAAATTGAACTTTTACTTCTTGAGTTTGTTTTAAGAATTTTACTGAGCTACATTTGAAGTCATTTGATTTTACTGTGTGAACATAAAAATAAAATAAGATTTTAAAATAATCTTTTAAAACAGCATTGATTTTGCCACTGGGTCGGTAATCAGAATCAAAGTTGTTTCATCAGTTGGAAGACAGAGGAGCTGGAGAAACAAGCTTAGTTCAAGTTAAGAAAATCTACAGCTGTTCTTCAGGAATCAGTTTAACTACAAGTACGATAACGGCTACAGTTTTATAACACAGAGCAAACTTAGTTTGGTTTATGTTCAATATTGTGAGCATGTAAACATTCTGAATAATATTTTGGGGTTAGGGTCCGAATTTTGTGTCCCATCCAAGCAAATGTAAGCTGGTATGACAATGAAAACCCTTGAGTCCTTCAATAACAAATATAAATATTGTCAGTTTTACCTGGTGCTTCTTATTCTAATTTGTATTAGCTAAAGCTGAAAACAGGATCGCATGCTTAGTTTGGGGTCAGTTGTTTCACATCATTTGATAGGAGGGATGGGTAAAGTATTGAACAATGGATGGGATGAAGATCAGAACTGGCAGGTTCAGAGGAAGAGGAGAACCAGACAGAAGTTTCATAAATGTAGTCAAGGATTCAGAGATGATCAGCTGCAGCGAATCTTAAAGACAGCAACTGACTGAATGTATGTCCCTTTAAAATGGCACACAACACCTCCCAAACATCCATGAAGTAATATTATAACATGTTTTATTTTGTGTTTATTTATTATTATTATTATTATTACTATTATTATAAAAAGTGCTCCTTAAATTAAAATAATATAAACACACGTGGGATCAAATATTTAATTATTTTATCTTGATGAAGATTGAGATTGTTGAGATTCCAAAAGAGAAAAATGTTCCCCTGTCCTTCCATGTTCAATGTTTAGTAGTCTTCCAACATACGGGTTACATTCAGCACAACTCAATATAGAAAAAGAGGATATTTCTTGATTTAAAAAACAAAAACAAAACATAGCTACAGGTCAGAACACTGAGGTCTAAAGAGGACTCCAGTCCAGTAGGTGGCGGTAATTGACCTGTTTTGTTTCCAGCAGCCATGAAACGAATCAGTTCCTGCAGCATGTACAAGATGTCGGTTCGCCTGCTGACCCTCAGGGCGCTGAGAGGAGCTCCAGGTCTCTGCCGCCGGACTCCGGCCGTCACCGGCGGATTCCGGGCGGCTTACTCCGCCGCTACACGGGACCAAAGATCCGTTATAACGGAGTCCACGGACGAGTACAAGTTCGTGGAACGACTCATACCGCCAACACGGATCCCCGACCCGCCTAAACACGTCGGAGTCGCTCCGTCGGGCTGGATCCCCCCGGCTGAGTCTCCGCCGCCTCTGCCCTACATGATCCGCCGCTCCCGCATGCACAACATCCCCGTCTACAGCGACCTGACCCACGGGAACCGCAGGTTGACGCTGGTACGGAAGGTGGAGGGGGACATTTGGGCTTTGGAGAAGGACGTGAGGGAGTACCTGAGGCAGGTGACCGGGAAGGAGTTACCCACACAGGTGAATGAGGTGACGATGACTCTGAAGGTGAAAGGTCACTTTGAGCAGGAGCTGAAGGACTGGCTGGCCAGCAAAGGCTTCTGATCGAGGAAGAGGAGGATGCAGCTGAAGGACAACTTCATCAGTTATCTTTAAAGGACTGCTGTCAGCTTCCGGTCTATCAGAAGACTCTTCCTGTCAACAAACACGTTTAATTCTATTCTGTTAAACCTTTAAAGCGAGATTAAAGAGAAAAGCATCACGAACTGTGTTGTGTTCATTGCAGCAGGCAAACATGAATGACTTGGATTTTTCTTTTCATGGAACGACTTCAGATTTTTCTTTTTCTGGTTGACATGTGAATATCTTTAAGGTCAATACCAGGATTACATTCCGGAGAAAATATGAGACAGGATTGCACCGATTGCAGTTTTCTAGCCGATCACTGATCTTTAAAAATCCATGGTTTCACAGCGAAGCATTTCAAATACTGGATAAAACAGCAGTTTTTCAAACTATACATCTTTTTTTTTTTTTGGCTCACAATTATTTTAATAAAAATAAATCTGCAGGAGTTACAATTTAAGCATCAAATCTTTATTTTTTACATGGTGATATACAATTATTTACAAGATGCAGAGTCCTGGGTGCCTCAGGATGTTTGTTAAATTGTGAGCTCTAAAAGTTGAATTGAGGTGACGGTGAAAAGCAGCACATAATTCATAATGATGTCAACTTTTTAAAATCTTCACCAGTATGGTCATCTTCCCCACACTGCACAGCTTCAGACTGAGCAGCTGATCCTGATCAGGGTTTCAGGATCTGTTCCATCTCAGAGCTGTGATGACGGTCAGGTGTGGCGCTGTGAGGCGATGTTCTCAACCCGCTGGCTGAGCTCCTCCAGTTGATCCGCTGAGGAACACAACGGTGGATATTAAACCAGGACCAGCAAACTGCAGCCATTAATAATCACATTAATCTTTATTGGCCTGTTTGATGCAACACAGCAGTCGACATACGGAGTGTGTGTTTCTCTCCTCTGCTCCAGTAGCGAGGTTGTGTTTGTAGACCTTTCACCTCCTCACTCACACACCCCGAAGCTTCACATATTTCCTTCTGCATTTCCAGCTCCTGGATAATAATAACAGAGATGAGAACAGATTATGGTTGGATTTTCCTCATAGTTCTTATAATGTTGGGTCTTTTCTGATTAATTTAAAGGGGCAGTATTATATGTTTTACAGACATTTAGTGACATTTTATAGCACAATCAAGTAACTATGTTACCTTCAGTTGTTAAAAATATGACTTCAAAGAAATCTGACTTCATAATTTAACACCTTGAAAATGGGCTTCTGTCCGTTTAAAAACTGCTTTCTGAAACTCTGTCTTCAGGAAGTCATCACAACATGTCACCTCCATTAAGCCTTTAACAACATTTTTGCAAGCATTGTGCTGAAATTGTGCAGTGATATAAGAAGTGTTTATTACCGTGTTGCAGGCCAGCAGCTGCTGCTGGACCCTCTGGAAGAGGTCGGTCTCTGCGCTGAAGTTCGGTGGTTCTCTGCTGCAGTAGACCCTCAGGTCTGTTTCATACAGATGACTGAAGGTCATCATCTGCTGCTGGAGGTCGCCTGCTGCTAAGCGCAGCGAGCTCGGTGAGAGAGCAGCTGGGTTCTCCTCAGCGCTGTTCAGGAAGTCACACTGAGAACGACAACAACAGGCCGAGATGAAAGTCAGAACCGCTGGCTGCTCATAGGTCGTTTTAGGAATTCATGCACAACCACCCAGTTGTAACTGGCTATTACTGCAGACTGTAACCAGTTCATATTTAAAGCTATACTGGTGCGTCACTTTCTTTGCTGCAGTAATAAGTCATTAATACTTCAAACCGAGAAACATTAATTCTACATGAATGTGTCACAAGATTTGTCAAAATAAAGGAAATCAGAGCTTATGATCCAAAGATTACAGTCTGACTGGAACTTTAAGGTGGATGTTGCTAAATGTGGTGAGAACAGTAAAGTTCATGCTTCAAACAAACTAAGCTGTCAGGATGCAGCAAACTACGACATTTTTTAGTGGTGCACCAATTGCAGTTTTCTTGCCGATCATCAATCTTAAAAATAAAACTGATCTGCTGATTTTGTTTTTGGCCGATATCATGGTTTTTTGTCTGAAAAGTCTCTAAATGTTAAGTTTACAACAGTGGGGTGACTGTTAACAGCTCACATTTCTGTTGCTCTGTTTCCCATCCAGAGAAAAGGGGAACAGTGGCTGATTTTCAGACCTCTGGGGGGGTGAATAAGATCAGATTCACATTTAAGCAGCAGCTGATCATCCAAAATTAAGGAAATGGGAGCCCATTTATCAGCCCGCCAATTTATCGGTGCATCCCTATATTTTTAAAGCATTTATTTCCACAATCCTCCCTCTAGTTGATCTATTAAACTAAAACTGATTTAGTTTCATTTCTGTGCATTTTCTCTCTCATCCAGCCAGAGTTCTCCTGCAGGTTGTCTTACCTTGGACTGCAGCTGCTCCAGTTGTGTCTGAGTGGACTGCAGAAGGTCAAAAACATCTGGAAACTCTTCTCCTGGCTTAAGAGCCGACTCTGGGACTTCGTACAGAGCTCTGTGGGGATCAGGAGTCAGAGGAAGGAAAAGAGCTGCTGTCACTGGAATAAACTGCAGTTTGTTAAATCGCTTTTATTCTGATATCTGTCTTGGTTTAACCAATGACTCAATGCAATCTGCTGGGCTTCCTTAGAAAGAAACTTTTTAAACTTCTTTGAATAACAAACTGAGCTTCCTGTACCGTTTGATTTCTACAATTAATTGGAATATATGTGTGATTGAAATAAGATTTTTGTTGTTAAGTGCCTTGAGACGACATTTGTTGAATGGCACAATAGAAATAAATTCAAGTCAACTTTAACTAGTTTGAAAATGACCTTGTAAGCCTCTACAAGCTGTTGTCAGGTCTTCATTTCACACCAGCTCTGCATTTATTAACAGGGATGGAACCAAACTGCTGCTTTGCTTTGATCTGATCTAATTGTGCAGCAACAAAAAGCTCCAGACATCAGATCAGACGTACTCGACATGAGCAGGCCAGGGATCCAGCGCCGGCTGGAGCATCTGTCTGAGGTGAGGCAGATTCTCTGCAGCAAAAACCTCACACAGCAGCGCCTCTGCATCAGTTCTGTGGCCAGAAGAACCAGAAACAAGAGACAACAGTTGCTCCAGGAAGCCAAGCTGTCGCTGAGGGCTGGCTTTACCCTGGAAGGACAGCAGCCGTGTATATGAGAGAGAAGTTAACTCATAACATGTTGACTTTCATTAAACCTCGACTCACCTTGATTAGATCCAGGTCGTCTGCTTTGCACAGCATCAGTTCCTGACTCATCGCAGCTATTTCTGCTTCCACATAATAAACAGCAACAACAATGTGTTTAGATTAGTCTG